ATATATATATATATATATATATATATATATATACATACATATCTTTATTCATTTACACACATATGTATATGTAGTGTGTGTATATATGTATGTATTTATTTTCGTTTGGTTGTAGTATTAGAGTCCTTAGTGGGAGGCGGTAATGCACCCGAAAGCTGTTTGCCAACCGCCAAAAAAAGCAAAAGAAAGAAGAAGAAGCAGGCGGCTGAAAACGGTCCGACTAGAACGCAGTTCTTTGTCAACGCCCGCCTGCTCTCGTCTGCTTTCCAGGCGAGGCGCAGTTCAACTCGAACGAGCCTATTTTATTCAGCATGGCGGCGAGTGAAGCGGCACCATTCATTCTTAAATGTTAAAATTGGGGTTAAACTCACTCTAATATCACCGATATAAATATTGAAACCTTATAACAATACGTGTTTGTTGAAAGGATCGGTTACGTTACGCCAGTAGCTGACAAGCTAGCCAACGATAGCCAGCTTGTCAGCTAACGTTTTGAACGCGACATCCAAACTGACGTCAGCTTTTTGTCCTTCTGCGGCTGCCATCTGATCTATCCTGAGACGAGGCGCATGCGTAGTCCATCTCAAACGAGCCTATTATGACGCTGCGTTTCGTTATCAAGACGCGACAGAGGTTCTGCACGTGAGAGCGAGCAGTTTGTGTTTTGATGAAGATTTAAAAGTGAAGGTGAGATTATTGTAAATTCATTGTTACGGACAAAATAAACGTTTTATTGTGAAAGGAAGGGAATCCGGAAGTGATGATCAACCGATCAATAAACAGCTGATTTATATATATCTACATATTTATACTTTATACCGTCTGATCTCAGATCCTGATCGGTGGTCAATAAAGTGAACAATGATACAGATCGATAATCAACAATGTTCATGTTTCAGGGTTACCTTATAATATATATTAATACATAATATGAATGATTAATGACGAAGTGTTAGGGTTATAATGTATATTAATACATATTAATGATGAAGTGTTAAAGAGCTTTAAACCGTCTGAAGACTAGAAAAGAGAAACAACTACAGTCTGTTTATCTGAGTATCTGTTTCTGTTTGTAGGAATCAATCAAAGTCATGGAGAGAAGAGAGGAAGAGGAGGAGACTACGGCTCAGATAGAGGAGGAAGAGGAGGAGACTACAGCTCAGATGGAGGAGGAAGAGGAGGAGACTACAGCTCAGATGGAGGAGGAAGAGGATGCCATCCGCCATAAAACAAAAAAGGAGGCGGAGGAGGAAGAAGAAGAGGAGGAGGAGGAAGGAGTTGCTGCAGAGAGAGGAGGAGAAGAAGATGATGAAGATGATGGTGCGGAGCTGAAGAAGAAGACGACCAAACAGAGAGCTGTTGTCTTCACTTCCTCTCCAGACAGGAAGTGTGTTCCAGGTATTATTTACCTGGGTCACATTCCTCCGAGGCTCCGCCCCAAACACCTGAGGAACCTGCTGTCGGTGTTTGGAGAGATCGGACGCATCTTCCTCCAACCTGAAGGTACAAATACACATTAAATACACATTGAATATATGTGTATATACGTATATGTATGTATACATATATATACATACATAAACACTCACCGGCCACTTTATTAGGCACACCTGTTCAATCGCTTGTTAACACAAATAGCTAATCGACCAATCACACGGCAGCATCTCAGTGCCTTTAGGCCTCTAGACATGATGAAGACGAGCATCAGAATGAGGAAGAAAGGGGATTTAAGTGACTTTGAACGTGACATGGTTGTTGGTGCCAGACGGGCTGGTCGCAGTATTTCAAACTGCTGATCTACTGGGATTTTCACCCACAACCATCTGTAGGGTTTACAGAGAATGGTCCTAAAAAGAGAAGATCTCCAGTGAGCGGCAGGTGTGTGGACCAAAGGCCTCGTTGATGTCAGAGGTCAGAGGAGAATGGGCAGAGTGGTTGGACATGATAGAAAGGCAACAGTAAGTAGAATATAGAAATAAACAAGAAAAATATAAAAACCAGGACATTTAAGACAACAAAGTAGAACAGAGAAACTAAGCACAAACATTTAACATTGAACTACGATGTAATATATAAATATATATCGAAGAATATAAACAACAATGACAATGGAGTCAGGAGATAGTGCAAACAGAGGTAGTAGTGCAGTTTGACTGATCAACTGTTCATCAGAGTGACAGCAGAGAGAAGCTGTTCCTGTGTCTGCTGGTTTTGGCGTACAGAGCTCTGTAGCTCCCTCCAGAGGGGAGGAGGTGAACAGCTTGTGTCCAGAGTGTGAGGGGTCTGCAGAGATGTTTCAGCCCGTTTCCTGACTCTGGATGTGTACAAGTCCAGGATGGAGGGCAGGCTGGAACCAATGATCCTCTCTGCAGACCTGACAGTCCATTGTAGTATGTCCCTGTACTGTTTCCAAACCACACAGTGATAGAGGAGCAGAGAACAGACTGGATGATAGTGGAGTAGAACAGGATCAGCAGCTCCTGAGGCAGGTTGAACTTCCTGAGCTGGAGCAGGAAGTACAACCTCTGCTGGGCCTTTTTCCTGATGGTGTTGATGTTGGGGGCCCACTTGGAAGATTGTGTGGGGGGGGGGGGGGGGGGGGGGGGGG